TATATATATATATATATCCTCTATAACAACATTTCACTATAACATGCAAAAAATATCGGAACAAATGAGGTTGTAATGAAGTTGTTATCGAGAGGTTTGACTTACCTCAAATAACATAAAATTCATGCACATGATATCCTAAAAGTCGTATGGATAAAACCAAACATGTACCTAGTATCTATATATACAACAACAACAACCCATTGAAATTTCACAAGTGGGGGGTCTGGGAAGTTAGTGTGTACGCAGACCTTACCCCTGCTTCGGATGAGTAGAGAGACTATTTTCACGAGACAAAATTAAATCTAGTATCTATATATAAGACTTCAAATTCTACGGACCTGAATTTTACATTATTAAATCATTTAAAATTACAAGTAATAATCCATAATAAATGGAACTAATTACCTCTGAAAAATAAGTCAAACAACCTGCTATAAGAGTACCTGTGTAGTAGCAGCAGCAACCCCCTCCTCTTCCTCCAACGGCAGCCGTTCAAACACCGCATTAGCAAAGGAAGCAGCCATCAATACAACAGGACCTGATGCCATCAAAGGCCCAACGATAGATCCTCCAACAACTTGGCCTTGTCCACCTGACAAAAATATAGAGAGTCCACTCGACCCGGGCGGTGCGGGCGGAGGAAGAATAGTCCCAGATAGTGAAAGTATCTCAAAACGGCCGTGAAGTGTAATTACAGTACTCCCAGCAGGGGAAGCAGGTTGACGAATGTTGACGTTATTGACTGTGCCGCTACCACTGAGAATACAAACACCTCTCCCCCTTCGCCTAGCGTAATTGGACACACTTTCCATTACATCTGCACCCGCGGAAACTTCAAGCACATGAGATCGGAGTGCATTAGGGGTATCTCTTGTAACAATAATTGGAGGCTTGGGCTTATTTTTGGATCCAGGTGGACGGCCTCGAGGGCGGCGGTTGGAAGTCCCGGCTGCTCCGCCGCCACCGGAGCTTCCACCAGCATCACTGTCAGATGCCTCCTTTGAATCACCACCCCCGAGTCCCAAAGTATAATTAAAATCCATCTAGTAGTAATAATATTCTGTACTAGCTAGCTAGCACAAGTGGGAATAAAAGAAATACTACTGTACTTCCTAAGTCAATTTTTCCCTTGACAAATAGGATGAGTAGTAGTATATTGCAACCGCAGTGATTGGCAGTGAAAATGACTATAAACAGTTGTATATCGACTATCTACCAGCCTTTGATGAATCGTCGTCAATATGGTAAAAAATCAATTTACATAGAGTTTTACCAGAGGTGAATTAGGGTTCTTCAGATGCCGAAAAGTACATGTTTCTGCTTAATGACTCTAATGACCTCAACTCCATATTTCGACCTGATCGGATCCACTTAGTTGCAGTCCACCATTTGTGCAGATTTTCTTTATTGTTGGTCGATTTAGAAAACCTGCAAATAATTATCACCGATCGGACTAACAACCTTTCAACTTAAATAATCCCGCTTTAGCAGCCCTTGTGCTTGAGCTATTCATAAGTAGAAAGTTAGATGGGTCTAATTGCCCACAACTCTAGAAGCTGCGTAAGACATCCAATCAGGAGTTACAAAAATAAGAAAAAACAGCACCACTAGTACAGTGCTCTTTCCAAGGATAATACTTCTGATTATTTTCTGCTCATCGCCGTTGCCAATTCAAGGGGCTAAATGCTAATATGTGGAAGAAAACAAAGGCCAAGTTGTAGTGAAAAGCAGCAGCAAGTAGCAAAAAGCGGAAGAAGAAACAATGAACACAGTGTATACAGGCAAATAAGGCAAGTGGGTATATTGGAATAGGATCTCTGCGGCCGCAGTCAAATCAGTGGCTTTGTCTTTTTCAATGAGAGAGTCTACACATTATAAGATCACTACCATTTAAGTTGTCCAGCTGAGGTGAAGTCATAAGTGTATTTAGAATGATAGCTGTGTAAAAAGTATCTTCTTCATTTTCTTTCCCTAATTATGTAGGTATCATACTTTTCATTCTAAAGCTTGTTAACTTAATATTTACTACCGTTAGGAGCGGAGTTACGTCCCATGAAGAAAATTATTTTTGTTTAAAAATTAGAAGAAATCCAACAGTTTAAACTAATAAAATAATCATCAAATGTATAATATAAGTATAATCTGTTATAAATATATTATATTATAGATGTTCATTTAATACCCCGTTAGAAAGAAACTTCCTAAAGAAGCTTATTCATATGAGACTCCGCCTTAAATATGTTTACCTATTTAGTACTTTATTGAAATAAGTCTTCTGAAGAAACTTAACCTTTCGGTACTACGTTATGGATAAATATTACCACCGGTAGAAGATTATTTATATCTGGTACAATAACAGCTTACAAAGCAGCTTGTAGTAGCAGCTTACAAGTAGCTTACACAGCAACTTGCAGTAGCAGCTTACACAACAACTTCCTTTCTTCTATAAATAGAAGAGTTTTCAGTTCATTATGTACATAAGTTTGAAGTTGAATAATATATTAGTTTATCTCTATACTTGTCTTTACTTTACAGTCTTTATTTTATAACACGTTATCAACACGGGATTCTGCCATCTCGAGCAAATACTTTGAAAGTATCAGAGGTACGGACTTACTTTTTCTAAATAATGTCAAATCTTTCTAAACTTGAGTTTATAGCCCTAGATATATCGGGCAAAAGGTACATGTCTTGGGTGTTTGATGCTGAAATTCATCTTGATGCGATGAGTTTGGCACACACCATCATGGACAAAAATCAAACATCAAACCAAGATTGTGCCAAAGCAATGATATTCATACGCCATCACCTTGATGAAAACTTGAAAATAGAATATCTCACTATTAAAGATACAGTCATACTGTGAAATAATTTGAAAGATAGATATGACCACCTAAAGATGGTCGTTCTTCCACATGCACGTTATGATTGGACTCATCTAAGACTACAAGATTTTAAATCTATCAGTGAGTATAATTCTGCTATGTTCAGAATGATTTCCCAATTGAAATTATGTGGTGATAATATTACTGATCATGATATGTTGGAGAAAACTTTCACCATTATTCATGCCTCGAATATGCTCCTTCAACAGCAATATCGAGAGATGGGATTCAAAAAGTATTCTGAACTTATCTCACATCTTCTTGTAGCCGAGCAACATAATGGGCTATCAATGAAAAATCATGAAAGTCGGCATAGTGGTTCTTGTCCATTCCCTGAAGTGAATGAGACGAACTTCCACCAAGCTAAGCGTGGAAGAGGTCGTGGCCATGGCCATGGCTGTGGTCGGGGAAGAAACTCTAATCATGGTAATAATAATGTACCAAAGAACCCTCCTCATCACCAGCAGTGAAAAAGGAAGGAACAAAAGCATGAAGCGGTGCAAGCAGCAAAGGCAGAAAATGCGTGCTATAGATGTGGAGGAAAAGGGCACTGGTCACTTACCTGTCGTACGCCAAAGCACCTGGTTGAGTTGTATCAAGCCTCCCTGAAGAAGACGGAGAAAAATGCTGAGGCAAATTTTATTTCTGAAGATAATTTAGACTTCATGCATTTGGATGTAGCTGATTACTTTGCACTCCCCGAAGGAGAAACAAGTCATGTGATCGGTGATGAATCTGTAAAAATATAAATATTTTAATTTTTGTTGTTTGTAATAGATAGTATAGTTATGTAATTGTTGTATATACATAAAAGTTATGCGTTGATAATGATGTTTACAATCATATTTATTTTGTTTATGTCATTTTGAAGAATATGGATAATCCTCAAATTATGTTTGGATCAAAGACCGATCATGAAGCTACTTGTGTAATTGATAGTGATACAACTCATGCCATATTCAAAGATCAGAAATACTTTTCTTATTTGCATAAGGAAAAAAGCAAATGTTTCAACAATTTTTGATAATATAAGTTTGATTGAAGGCTCCGGAAGAGCCACTATATTTCTATCTAAGGGAACAAAACTTATTATAGATAATGCATTATTCTCCTCCAAGTCCCGAAGAAACTTGTTGAGTTTTATAGATATTCGCCGAAATGGGTATCATGTTGAGACGATAGATGAAATGAATATGGAATATCTTTGTATTACAAAGAATGTTTCGGGCCAGAAGTGCATTGTAGAAAAGTTACCAACTCTATCTTCTCGCTTATACTATTCAAAGATTAGTACAATTGAAGCACACTCTATCGTAAACCAGAAGTTTACTGATTCAAATATTTTTGTGCTTTGGCATGGTCATTTGGGCCATCCTGGATCAATAATGATGAGACGAATTACTGAAAATTCAAGTGGGCATCCATGAAAGAACCTGAAGATTCTTACAAATAATGAATTTTCTTGCGATGCTTGTTATCAAGGCAAAATGATCACTAGACCATTACCAATGAAGGTTGGCATTGAATCCCCAGCCTTTTTAGAATGTATACATGGGGATATATGTGGACCTATTCACCACCAAATGGGTTATTTAGATATTTTATGGTCCTAATAGATGCATCTTTAAGATGGTCTCATGTGTGACTACTATTATCTCACAACCTGGCGCTTGCAAAGCTATTAGCCCAAATAATTTGATTAAGGGCAAAATTCCCAGATTATCCTATAAAGGCTATTCGCCTTGATAATGCTGGAGAATTCTCATTTCAAGCTTTTGATGATTATTGTCTATCAGTTGGGATAAAAGTTGAATATCCTGTAGCTTATGTTCATACTCAAAATGGCCTTGCAGAGTCATTTATTAAACGCCTGCAATTGATAGCAAGACCATTACTTATGAAAATAAAATTGCCCACTACTGTTTGGGGCCATTCTATCTTGCATGCAACATCATTTATCCGTCTCAGACCGACACATTGTAATAAATATTCTCCGTCATAATTAATTTTTGGTCATGAACCAGATATTGCCCATCTACGAATTTTTGGATGTGCTGTATATGTGCCAGTAGCACCACCATAGCGCAGTAAGATGGCCAACAGAGAAGATTATGAATATATGTTGGGTTTGAATCACCCTCTATTATTCGGTATCTTGAACCATTGACGGGAGATTTATTTACTGCTCGATTTGCAGATTGTCGATTTGATGAAACAAATTTATCACAATTAGGGGGAAAGAAAAAGGAAATCAAAAGAGAAATTGTGTGAAAAGTTTCATCGTTATCTCATTTTGATCCACTTAACCCTATATGTAATCAGGAGGTCCAGAAGATCATCCATTTACAGAATATAGCAAATCAAATGCCAGACGCATTTACTGATTTGAAAAGGATAACTAAGTCACATATCCCTGCAAAGAATGTATATATCCGAATTGATGTCCTAGCATGACCATCTACTAGCACGAAAGCTGGTGAACCTAAAGCACGCCTGAAGCATGGTAGGCCTTTGGGTTTTAATAGTCGAAATCCTAGAAAACAAAAATCGACAAATAATCAAAATGATACTATGAAGGGATCTCCTGAAGAGACCCAAGATCTGATTAGTTCTTAGATTCCTGAAGAAATCAATGAACCCGAGACTCAAGTGAGTGAAGAACTTTTAATAAGTTCTACTAGTGATGGGATTAATTTAAATCGATCTGAAATAGCGGTGGATAATATTTTTGCATATAATGTTGCACTTAACATTATGCAAGATAGTGAGAATCTTAAACCCCGATCTGTCGAAGAATGTCGACAAAGATCTGATTGGCAAAATGGCAAGGGTCAATTCAATCGGAATTGAAGTCACTTGCTATAAGAGAGGTTTGTGGACCAGTAGTCCAAACACCTGCTCGCATAAAGCCAGTTGGTCATAAATGTATTTTTGTGCGAAAAAAGAATGATAAAAATGAAGTTGAAAGATACAAGGCTCGCCTTGTCGCACAAGGATTCTCACAACGACCTGGAGTCGATTATGAAGAAACATATTCACCCGTTATGGATGCCATAACATTTCGATATCTCATCAGTTTAGCCTTACGTGAAAGGCTTGAAATACATCCAATGGATGTGGTTATAGCTTATTTGTACGGTCACTTGATAATGAAATTTACATGAAAAATTCTGAAGGGTTTAAAATGCCTGAAGCATATTCAAAATCTTGGGAAATGTACTCAATCATATTACAAAGATCTTTGTACGGTTTAAAGCAATCTGGGCGCATGTGGTATAATCGTCTCAGTGAATATTTGCTGAAAGAGGGTTACATAAATGATGTTATTTTTTCATGTATTTTTATAAAAAAAATGACTTCAGATTTTGTTATACTTACTGTTTATTTTGATGACATAAATCTTGTTGGAACTCCAGAAGAGCTCCAAAAGGCAATTGAATATCTTAAGAAAGAATTTGAGATGAAAGATCTTGGAAAAACATAAATTTGTCTTGGTCTGCAAATTGAACATTTAGCAGACGAGATCTTTATCCATCAATTTGCCTATACAAAAAGGGTCCTAATACGCTTTTACATGGACAAAGCACACTCATTGAGTACACCAATAGTTGTTCGATCACTTGAAATGAATAAGAATTTGTTCCAACCTTCATAAGAGGATGAGGAACTCCTTGGTCCCGAAGTACCCTATCTCCGTGCAATTGGTGCACTAATGTATCTTGCTAATGCTACAAGGCATGACATAGCATTTTCTGTTAATTTACTAGCAAGATATAGTTCTTCTCCTACACGGAGACATTGGAACGGGATTAAGCATATATTGTGATATTTAAAGAGAACTCTTGATATGGTTTTATTTTATGCTAACAAAGATAGTGCATATCTTGTTTATTATGTAGATGCAGGTTATTTATTTGATCCCCGTAAAGCTAGATCTCAAACTGGGTACGTGTTTACATGTGGAGGTACTGTCATATCATGACGCTCCACAAAGCAATCTATTGTCGCTACTTCTTCAAATCATGCTGAGATAATAGCTATTCATGAAGCAAGTAGGGAATGCGTATGGTTGAGATCAATAATTTATTTTATTCGAGAA